CCAGAAAAGCTGAAACTTATGTGGACACATGCTGGTATAGTGTAGATTCTAAATTGTTCACATCATGACCCCTTGGGGAAGGGCGGGGCCACAATGGGGAATCAAAGTTTTATATAGAAATATATAGGAAAAATCTTTGAAAATCTTCTCGAAATCACTGGGCCAGAAAAGCTGAAACTTATGTGGAAGCATCCTGGTATAATGTAGATTCTAAATTGTTCAAATAATGACCCCTTGGGGAAGGGCGGAGCCACAATGGGGAATCAAAGTTTTATATAGAAATATATAGGAAAAATCTTTGAAAATCTTCTCGAAATCACTGGGCCAGAAAAGCTGAAACTTATGTGGAAGCATCCTGGTATAATGTAGATTCTAAATTGTTCAAATAATGACCCCTTGGGGAAGGGCGGAGCCACAATGGGGAATCAAAGTTTTATATAGAAATATATAAGAAAAATCTTTGAAAATCTTCTTCTCAAGAACCACTTGGCCAGAAAAAGTGAAGCTTATGTGGAAGCATTCTGGGGTAGTGTTTATTCTAAATTGTAGGAATCATGACCCCCGGGGGAGGGGCGGGGCCATTATAGGGAATCAAAGTTTTACATAGAAATATATAGGAAAAATCTTTGAAAATCTTCTTCTCAAGAACCACTGGGCCAAAAAAGCTGAAACATATGTGCCCATGGAAGGATCATGGGGTAGTGTAGATTTCAAAATGTCTAAATTATGATCAGTGGGGTAGAGTGGGGATGCATTATGTATAACAAGGGGGAAATCTGGTAAAGAACAGAATGGTCAAAGCTTCTCAGGTGAGCGATGTGGCCCATGGGCCTCTTGTTTATTCTCACGTTCATAACTACACTGTAAACCTAAACATATAAAAAATGCTGGCCTTATAATGAAGAAAGGGCCCTCTTTCAAAATAGATAATTTCAGGGCCGCTGGGTCAGGGGTACCAGAGGGGTACTTTGACTAAAAATAAATTAATGCTTTGAAATCTGCCCTTTGATAAGCAATGGTGCCTCTTTCAAAATTTGTGAATTTCATGGCTTTTGGATTTAAACACGAACCAAATACAATCGCTGGAAAGTTGTTACATGATACTCAGGTGACCTATAAGGCCCGTGGGCCTCTTGTTAAGGTAGTTGTATAAAAACCCCATTCTATCATTATAAATACTGAAAAAGTTCTTATAGTAACTTTAGAAGAAAAGGATGAGGGATTAATTATGTAGCCTGCTGCAGAAAATTTAGTTGGCTTATCTTTATCTGTCACTTTAAGATTAATGAAAACCTTTGCAACTGCTGTTTGTTTTGAAGTTTAATAAGGTCAAGTCTTCATGATATTTGTATTCATTGAAGGCAGGCATTTATATAACATAAGCTTCATTATTGTTTAAATATACATTCAATATTAAGTTGTTCTTTACTGTAATGTAAATACAAGGGTATTATTAACAGGTTTTTGAATATTCCAGAATTATCTTGAAATTTTAAGAATACAGTTGCTGTTGCTTATTCTTCGTACATTTTTTAATCATTCCGTAAGCTGCACCTTATAATTCTACCCTATGGAGGGGCCCTTGCTGACTGGTCAGTTTTCTAGTTTATTTAATTATTTTAATTGATAAATTGTGTTATTGAATAGTAGGAATATATGATTTATACATTATTCATCTTGGTCAATATTGATAGGCACACAGATTCATACATGTATTTTAATTTAAAATCAGTTGTGACTTATTCATAAATGTATAATTATTAAATTATACATTTGAATATCATAATATTTAAAATAGTATAAAACTATCACTATTATATATTTTGTCTTTAAAAATCTTCGAAAGAACCACCGGGCCTGGGAAGATGAAACTAATGTAGAATCATCCTCAGGTAGTGTATTTTCAAGTTTGTTCAAATCATGACCCCTGGGGGTAGGGTGGGGCCAAAATGGCCGATCAAAGTTTTACATAGGAATATATAAATAGGAAAAGTCTTTAAAAATCTTCTACTCAAGAACCATTTAGACAGAAAAGATAAACTCATGTGAAATCATCCTTAGGTAGTGTAGATTCAAATTTGTTCAAATCATGACCTCCGGGGCTAGGGTGGGGCCATAATGGCCGTTAAAAGTTTTACATAGGAACATATAAGAAAAATCTTTAAAAATCTTCTTCTCAAGAACCACTGGGCCAGGAAAGATGAAACTAATGTGGAATCATCCTCAGGTAGTGTAGATTCAAATTTGTTCAAATCATGACCCCTGGGTCTAGGGTGAGGCCAAAATGGCCGATCAAAGTTTTACATAGAAATATATAGGAAAATTTTTAAAAAATCTTCTGAAGACAAACCATTTAGACAGAAAAGATTAAACTCATGTGAAATCATCCATAGGTAGTGTAGATTCAAATTTGTTCAAATCATGACCCCGGGGGCTAGGGTGGGGCCATAATGGCAGTTAAAAGTTTTACATAGGAACATATAGGAAAAATCTTCTTCTCAAGAACCACTGGGCCAGGAAAGATGAAACTAATGTGGAATCATCCTCAGGTAGTGTAGATTCATATGTGTTCAAATCATGACCCCCGGGGCTAGGGTGGGGCGAAAATGGCCAACCAAAGTTTTATTTAGGAATTAAAAAGGGAAACCTTTTAAAATCTTTTTTTCAAGTACTTCAAACCCAAATTTATTCAAATCATGACCCCCTGGGAGGTTAAAATTCACTCAAGGATGCTTTGTACCAATATATAAATAGGAAAAATCTATAAAAATCTTCTACTCAAGAACCATTTAGACAGAAAAGATAAACTCATGTGAAATCATCCTTAGGTAGTGTAGATTCAAATTTGTTCAAATCATGACCCCCGGGGCTAGGATGGGGCCATAATGGCCATTAAAAGTTTTACATAGGAACATCTCAGAAAAATCTTTAAAAATCTTCTTCGTGGGGGTTGGGCGGGGCCACAATGGGGAGTCAGAGTTTTACAATGTTGAATCAAAGCATCCTATGGTAGCGTAGATTTCAAATTGTCTTAATTATGATCAGTTGGGTAGGGTGGGTCACAATATGTATAACAAGGGGGAAATCTGGTAAAGAATGGAATGGTCAAAGCTTCTCAGGTGAGCGATGTGGCCCATGGGCCTCTTGTTTAATTATCAACACCCGCCACTCACATGACTCAAGAGTCAAAAGTCTTATGTTAAATCCAGTTGTCTGGTGTATTCTTTGTAAAGTTGGTCAAAGGTCAGGGACAGAAGAATTGTAATGCTGGTATTTTTATTAGCTCACCTGAGCCAAAGGCTCAAGTGAGCTTTTCTGATCAAAATTTGTCCGTTGTCTGTCATCGTTGTTGTCATTGTCGTCGTAAACTTTTCACATTTTCATCTTCTTCTCAAGAACCCCTGGGCCAATTTAAACCAAATTTGGCATACAGTATCCTTAGGTAAAGGGGATTCAAGTTTGTTCAAATGATAAGGGCCAATCCCTTTTCCAAGGGGAGATAATTATGAATTAGTAAAAAATTAATGGCATTTTTCAAAAATCTTCTTCTCAAGAACCACTGGGGCAGGAAAGATGAAACGCATGTGGAAGCATCCTCAGGTAGTGTAGATTCAAATTTGTTCAAATCATGACCCCTGGGGTTAGGGTGGGGCCACAATGATCGATCCAAGTTTTACATAGGAGTATGTAGGGAAAATCTTAAAAAATCATCTTCTCAGGAACCACTGGGCCAGGAAAGATGAAACTCATGTGGAAGCATCTTTAGGTAGTGTAGATTCAAATTTGTTCAAATCATGACACCAGGGGTAGCGTGGGACCAAAATGGATGATCAAAGGTTACATAGGAGAATATAAGAAATATCTTTAAAATCTTCTTCTCAAGAACCACTCAGCCAGGAAAAATGAAACTCATGTGGAATCATCCTCAGGTAGTGTAGATTCAAGTTTGTTCAAATCATGACCTGGGGCTAGGGTGGGGCCATAATGGCGGTTAAAAGTTTTACATAGGAATACATTGAAAAAATCTTTAAAAATCTTCTTCTCAAGAACCACTGGGCCAGGAAAGATAAACTCATGTGGAATCATCTTCAGGTAGTGTAGATTTAAGTTTGTTTAAATCATGACCCCAGGGGTAGGGTAGGGCCAAATAGCCGATCAAAATATTACATAGGAATGTATAGGGAAAATCTTTAAAAATCTTCTTCCCAAGAACCACTGGGCCAGGAAAGATGAAACTCATATGGAATCATTTTCAGGTAGTGTAGATTTAAGTTTGTTCAAATCATGACCCCATAGGGAAGGGTAGGTCCAAAATAGCGGATCAAAATTTTACATAGGAATATATGGGGAAAATCTTGAAAAATCTTTTTCTCAAGAACCATTGAGACAGAAAAGATAAAACTCATGTGAAATCATCCTCAGATAGTGTAGATTCAAGTTTGTTCAAATCATGACCCCATGGATTAGGGTGAGGGCCAAAATGGATGACCACAGTTTTATATAGGAATATTTTGGGAAACATTTTGAAATCTTTCTTTTCAAGTACTTCAGAGCCATGATTAGTGATATTTATATGAGATCATCCTCAGATAGTGCAGATTCTAGTTTGTTCAAAAAAACATGAACCCCCCCCCCCCCCCCCCCCCACCTCAGTAAACTTTCAGTTCTGATCTGAAGTGTGCTTTTTCCTAGGCGATAATCTCAGGTGAGCGCTGTGGCCCCTGGGCCTCTTGTTCAAAATGTTTTATGACAATCAGTACACATGCTAAATAACATAAAATTACCCGTTAAATGTTACAAATATGCTGTATATTGGCATTTTTAACTTTATAGTCAAGTAAGTCAAAGACAAGGTCAAAGGCCAAGAGGTCAATTAAGTAATCATGGCAATTTACAAATGCCAAAGTGCCAATCAATAATATGCTAAATATCAATATTTTCAAGGCTTTTATAAAGTATTGATGTCTAAATGTATTTTCATGTATAGCAATATATTGTAGGTTTTTGTGCCGAGTACAATGAAGGTGGAGGAAAGATACAAGATTATTATGAAAAAACATGTTCAACATGCAAGAGAAAGTATTTGTCTACAGATGCATACAAATGTAAGTTTTCTTCCATTTGTTTTGTCATGTTCTTCAGAGCTTATAAACAATATGTGAAATTAATTTATTTTTAGCTCACCTGGCTTAAGTGAGCTTTTCTGATCAAAATTTGTCCGTCGTCTGTCGTCGTAAACTTTTTAGCTCACCTGAGCCGAAGGCTCAAGTGAGCTTTTTTTATCAAAATTTGTTTGTCGTCTGTTGTTGTTTTCACATTTTCATCTTCTTCTCAAGAACCACTGGGCCAATTTCAACCAAACTTGCCACAAAGTATCCTTAAGTAAAGGGGATTCAAGTTTGTTCAAATGAAGGGCCAAGCCCTCTTCCAAGGAGAGATAATGATGAATTAGTGAAAAATTAATGGCATATTAAAAAAAATCTTCTTCTCAAGAACCACTGGGCGAGGAAAGATGAATCTCGTATGAAAGCATCCTCAGGTAGTGTAGATTTAAGTTTGTTCAATGACCCCCAGGGGAAGGTTGGGGCCACAATGACTGACCAAAGTTTTACATAGGAATATATTTGAAAAATCTTTAAAAATCTTCTTCTCAAGAATCACTTTGCCAAGAAAGATAAAACTCATGTGGAATCATCCTCAGGTAGTGTAGATTCAAGTTTGTTCAAATCATAACCCCAGAGGCTAGGATGGAGCCAAAATGGCCAATCAAAGTTTTACATAGGAGTATATAGGAAAAATCTTCTCAAGAACCATTGGGCCAGGAAAGATGAAACTCATGTTGAATCATCCTCAGGTAGGTAGTGTAGATTCCAGTTTGTTCAAATCATGGCCCTTAGGGGGAGGATGGGGCCAAAATGGCTGATCGAAGATTTACATAGGAATATATTTGAAAAATCTTTAGAAATCTTCTCAAGAACCACTGGGCCGGGAAAGATGAAACTCATGTGAAATTATCATCAGGTAGTGTAGATTCAAGTTTGTTCAAATCATGATCCCAGAGTCTAGGATGGGGCCAAAATGGCCGACCAAAGTTTTACTTAGAAATATATAGGGAAACCTTTTAAATCTTCTTCTCAAGTACTTTAAAGCCATGATTAGTAATATCTATGTGGAATCATCCTCAGGTAGTGAAGATTCTAGTTTGTTCAAATCATGATCAGGTAGTGAAGATTCTAGTTTGTTCAAATCATGATCAGGTAGTGAAGATTCTAGTTTGTTCAAATCATGATCCCCGGATGTAGGTTGGGGCCAAATGGCCGATTAAAGTTTTACATAGGAATATGTAGGAAAAATCTTTAAAAATCTTCTTCTCGAGAATCACTGGGTCAGGAAAGATGAAACTCATTTGGAATCATCCTCAGGTACTGTAGATTCAAGTTTGTTCAAATCATGACCCCCAATTGTAGGTTGTGGCCAAATGGCCGATTAAAGTTTTACATAGGAAGATATAGGGAATCCTTTTAAAATCTTCTTTTCAAGTACTTCAAAGCCATGCTTATAGTGATATTTATAGGGAATCATCATCCTCAGGTAGTGTAGATTCTAGTTTGTTCAAATCAAGACCTCTGGGGGTTAAAATTCAAGCCCCCCCCTCCCCCCCCCCCACAGTAAACTTTCAGTTCTGATCTGATACGTGCTTTTTCCTAGCCAATTGCTCATGTGAGCGATGTGGCCCCTGGGCCTTTTGTTTGTGAATATTGCAGGATAACCTACGAGGTAGTGAAATGTTGTTTAGAGCCGCTTGGTCCGATTCTCACCGCTTAAAATATATATTCGTTTTTCTTCTTGAAAAATAATTGTCCATAAATTGTTAGACCTTTTGTCTAATTATATCCCCAAAGTCTTTTTTCTTTTAAAAGATATAAAAATTTCAAAAGTTAAAAAAATAATTTTTGTTAGGTCACACAAAAAATAATCGTATGTTGATATGGTGTGAAATCACCTTCCAAAGGTTAAATTTATGGCTTACGTGTATATCTCATGAAGAACAAACCCAAGAATTTTTTTCACAACAAAGTACATATATATACCTGTACACGGACAATATTACGGCTTCTTTAAAGAATCTTTAAAAATATCTGATTTTCCTTTAGTCTTTTAATATGCATAATTATTATTAATATAAAAACTACTATGGATTATATTCACACACTGGTCAACGCGTTATCGGCAACTCGGTTGTTATCAGATATTCGGTGCAGGAAAAACAATGCATAGAAAACGTAGGTGATTTTAAATTTCTTCATTCAATGATAATTGTGTACTTCTGCAAACAAAGTTTGTGATCTTTGGTAGATAAATGATAATACTTTCAGCGGTAAAAAGCACGATCCAAATTACTTTCTTTCAAGAGATCTACAGGTCTTTAAAATGAAATTTAATTAAAAAAAATTGATATGTCAACATATTTTAGCCTTTGTAGAGGTCAGAATTAATTTATTTTATTTAACAAAGTGATTTATTAACTATATGGACAATCATAAACCTTTAGATAAGCAGACGTATATCAAAATTCAAATTATGGTTTAGTTTACGGGCATTTAAAATGTTTAGTTGGGCAAAAACATGTTATCGGCAACACGGTTGAAGTTGCCGGATAATTCGGTTTTTCATGGGTGCAGGTTATCGGAAACCTAGGTTAATATTAAGATATATTATCTTTAATTTATCATAACAATAACTTAAGTCTTCTGACATATTACGTTATTTTTTTTTAAATTCAAGTTGCTCCATGATTCCCTGAATCACGTCACATTTACAAATACATGTATAGCAGTTGTGGCTTAAGTGGGGGGTGCCCCGTATACGAAACAAGTGCCTGTGATTGTGACGTTAGCACTTTTGTTGCTCCGCAAAAGAACGTTAACATAATTTTTAGAAGCTTTAAATAGAATCACCTATTAAATGAATAGGACTTTTTAAATACTTGATCATGTGATCTAGCTTGTGTTAATCATGTGATCTAGCTTTTATCAATCAGATAGCTGTCAACAATAAAGAAAGTTAATTCTTCATTCTTTTTATACAATGTTATTTGGATATGTAGTGGATTAAGGAGACTATCCTTTAACGAAAAGCATGGTCAAAAAATAAATAGATAAATAAAAATAAGAGAGCCGACTGGGATTTTATTGTGCAAAAAACACAATAGAGAAAACACTTTAATAAAAATAAAACTTAACTGATTTCCCAACCTTGAAAATTACCTATTAAGGAGAACGGGTGCAGGTTGATTAACTTCAGTTCCTCATATGTTTAACTTTTGCTACAGTCAGTGATTGGCGTTTTCAATTACAAAAGGGTGGGGGGCAGAGATTTTTTGCTTCAGTATAAACATCAAATAGCAATGCAAAATCCAAGTGAACCCCCCCCCCCCCCCCCCCCGATTCATCTGAGCATGAACTCTAGACATTGCATATGGCCAATAATAACGAAGAGCACAGTGCTGAATGTAACCGTTTATCAGGGGGTTCTTATTCCTTTTTGGTACGCTAAACAACCTCCGCTGTCTTTGGAGATCCGTGTTTAGGATTTTGTAATTTTATGTCAATCTCTTTTCTCCTCAAAAGTTTGAATTCTGTCATATAATTTGGTCTAACGCCCTATTTGAAAATACTTTTAACTACCCTTGAGTTTAAATTCTTTAATTCCTTTACACTAAACTTATAAATGTATTCGTGTTGGAAAAGTTGTGAATTTCAGTATCGGTGTCACCTGACCTAAGTCGATTAAAAAATGGCTGGCATCTGTTCGTTCGCCATACGCTCATCACCTTGATTGGCTGTATGTTGTTTAACGCCCTCTTGAGAATTTTCAAGTCATATGGAGACACCATCACTTGCCGGCAGAGAACTACAAAACTTGTCCTATACTCGGCACTCAGGGCAATTGAGCAGTGAGGAATCTTTTATGTGCTAGCACCTACTGCGGCGTCCCACTTTGGGATACGAATCCGCGACGTAAGGATCGACTCCTTACTAGACGACCCTAGAGCAGACACTCTAACAACGGGCGACCTCGGTACCTTGAAGTGAAATTTAAAACTAATACCATATTTTCGAACAGATCAAGATCATACAGACTTCAGTGAGAAATGCCAGAAAACACGCATTTTTTTTAAAAGTTACATATTTTTAAAAGAAGCAAATAATAACCAAAAATTATAATTGTGTACCAGCCACTTTAAATATTTAGAATTTATGCGGATTTCTGTCGTTTCTTTACATTTTTCCTATTATCTATCTCAACCTTTGTTTCGTATAACCAAAACCGAAGTTTCCGATAACCAAAACCGAAGTTTCCGATAACAAAGTGAATTATTCAACCGTATTTCCGATAACATACTGAAAGTTAAAATTGGGCAATTTTTGTCCTTTAATAACATATTTGCAAGATTCTGACGATGTCTTCTTGTGGAAAATCATTAACGCTAGGAAATTATAAGGATTTTGAAGAAAAAAGCTATTTACAGCAATGCCAATTAGAGAAAAACTTGCAAAATATAACAAATTTGACTTTTACAGCCTTCCCAAGGCTAACAAATGCTATTCTAATACGTATCGAGGCTTTATTTTGTATCCATATTTATTTCTGTTTCCAAAAATCACAATGAACATTCTCTGTTTCCATTTTAACAGAGTTTACTTGAAATAATTTACTAACCTGTAAAAAATTGTTATCAACCGAGTGTCCGATAACAACCGAGTTGCCGATAACGCGTTGAGCAGTGTGATTCAATTCATTTCTTAATTTTAAAAGATGCATTAAGACTAAGGCTTCTACTAATGGAAAAAATACTCGGGTTTGAATTATCTTCATTCTTAGATATAACCGATAAATTTATTTTTTTCAAAATTGACTTCACAACAGATCTTAACTTCCCGTCAGGAACTATTCGTTGTCAATAAGGTTTTTGATTTGCTTTTTCCATGTAAGGATTGTTGTAATAAAGTGTTAAATCAATCTTATAATTTATTTTTATATATTTTCTATTAATGACATATTTTTATTGTGTAAGATATTATGTGCCTGTTTCGGATCAAGT